ATGTTGCTGGAAAAAGATATGTCAACCCCTTAAAGTAAAGGCCTTGTTCATAATAGGTTTCAGATGAAACCTTATCTAGTCTTCCCACGTCAAGTGTCTGCATGAACTTCTGTGATACCTCGTGATCAGGTACACCTTTGAGATCTGTAGGCTGGGCCTCAGAATATGTGTTCCTTCAGGTAAATGTTTTCTCAGCATCCAGAGGCAATTTCCTTCTCTGTTAAATAGCTGTTACAGTGTCATGATGTGTTCTGTGTCAGTTCACAAACAGCCCTGCTTGTTTGAAACAAAGCGTGTGTTTCGATAAGTCTGAATCTCTTACTGCACAGCCGAAAAAGTCTGATCTCTTTTTCAAGTCAGCTACAGTTCTCTTCATGGAGAGCTCTTTTCCCATTGTCTTTTGGAAAAAAATATGGAAAAGACTTTTTTGTTCTTTTGCCTAGTAGTATACTGAAATTCATCAAGGTAATGGTTAAACTGTCCTTACCTACAGCAGCTGCTTTCCATTAAATCTGTTCCTCGAGTCCTTCCCTTCCATGGGAACTGTGGCATTACAAGCTTTAATGACAGATAGTGTGTGTATGTTTTGCAGGGTTCTATGTTTTTGTGGATCCAGTATAAGCTCCTTTAGAAAAAGCTGAGGTGTACTTTAGCAAGGTAATTGTTCCATCTTTCTCAGGCTGACATTAATTATGCTTGAAATAGTTCCTAAAGTTATTTGTGTAGTAACTGATCGATCCAAAGGCACTTGTATTTCAATGCCAAAACTGTGGAAGTGAGTGTTATATGCTATTGAAAATCTATCTTTTTCACAGTCTTCTGAAATGGATTCCTTGCACTAAGTACACTGCTGTCCCAAGGCACCAGGGAGAATTCAAATGTCTTTACTGGCCATGAGGAGAAATGTCTTGGTCTGATACCTGGTATTTGGCCACCTGGGAGTCTGTTTCACCCAGAACTGTGAAAAGGCTTGAAGCTTGTTACACCAGTCCTGCCTGCTTGTCCTGTACGAGGACTGTTCCGTGTAGTTAACAGTGGTATGAATTTATATACAGTCATTTACTCACAGGTGCAGAGTTATTTTCACTGACAGAGTTCTTCAGAAACAGCTGTCTGAATGTGTATCTCATATCCATCTGCTCTGCCTCCCTTTCCAGGGTTAATGGGTATTTGCTTGTGTTGGGATGATGCGGCTGCAGTCATGAAGCTGTGTCTGGGCTGAGCAGGAGGGATGGCAGTAGTGAGTGAGCTATGTATAAATTAATAACAGGGGGAAAAAAAAAAAAAGTCTCTTATGCAAGAGGGCTTCTATGTGTTCACAGCGTGAAGATACATGACTTCCATCTCTTGGAGAGCTCATTTTCTCATATTAGTGTAGTTTTTTTTAATCGCAGTAAGATGTTTCTGCTTTCACCTTGTGGAAAGGAGATCAGAAGGGTTGTGTGTCACTGCATAGTGCAGTTCTCATATGCACATGTAAGTTTAAGCAAGAAAACTCCTTTGCTGAGCTTTAATCTTCACCTGTGTCCTGCAGTTTCTTCTGCATTTTAATTTTTCCCTTGTGCTGACTGTTGCTTTGCTTCTTATTTCACTCTTTCTTTACATTCCCTTTGCCTGCTCAGTGCTTTATCCTTCCATTTCCCTGTATCATTTTCATTCTGAATCTTCCTGAAGTGGTTTTTCAGTCTAGCAGATTGTGAGATGCACTAAAGCATTTTAATGGTGCATACAGTAGCTATGTGTTAAATGGGCATGCAGGAGAAAGTGTCTGAGAAACAGTGGCCCTTATTCATCTGTAGTGTGACTCAGATTTTCTGAGATACACAGGTGTGAGACTCTACTTCTCTATGCAGTGTAACTATCCCAGTAAATTGATAACCCTAATTACCAGCTGCATACATGAACTAAGGATCAGGTTGCCATCCTTCAAGTTGATGTTACGTTTCATGTTAATCTGCTATATAGAAAAAATAGGATGTGCTTTCCTATTTAGTAGTCAATAAATTTAGCACTTTCCTATTTGGTAAATCAGTAAAGCATAATTTTCTAATCTGTTTTTTCTTTGTTGTCTGCAAGTTTCTGGCCACTAATATAAATGTGTACTGACAAGAAATTCATCGGGCTTCTCTGCCCCTGAGGGATTACTTATTAGACTTATGCAATGCAAGGTATTAAAAACACTTTTGTCTGTCACACAGCCACGGGCAGGGGAGGGGGAATTTGCCAGTTGCTAATGGATACCTGGAGGTTTTGTGCATGACCATGAAGAACAGCTTGTGCACTTTCACCCCTGATGTTCCCTGAATAACTCGGGTCTCATTTAGGTCAATAAGCCTTTATCAAAACGTCAGGAGTGAAAAATGTGTCTTGGTGTAAGCCGACTGGTCGTTCCCTCCAGTCACTGGAGTCTATAGAACAATCAATGTTCTCTAAGCTTGTCTGCGTGTCATGCAAAGAACTGGATGACAGTAACCATTGACTGCATGTCTGTTGCATTGTCTTTGGAACAGCCCACATTTGCATACTTGCCAATGTTCCTGTTAGCCAACGAACCATGGAGGGGCCTTAAAAAACATACACACACAGCTCCGATGCAAATTTCCTACACAGAGAATACACACTTCTTTAAAGCACAATCCAGGCTTTCAATTTTTACCTTCTTGCTATCAAAATGAAACTGCAATCCTGACAAGCCCCTGGTTTCTGGCTGAGCGTGGACTGTTTTATTGTGCTAAAACGTAATCTTTCCTGTGGGTTTGTCTTTTTTGTCTTTTCCTACTAAATTTCTTGGTTTTGTTTTTCTTTCTTTCTTTCTTTTTTGTAACCTGCTTTTCAGGGTTATCTGAAGAGTATTGTCTGTGCTAATGGCTAATGCATATGATGTGAGGCCATACTTCCCTTCCTCCAATTAATTATTTTGAATGAAGGGCAGTTTTTGCTCTTTGCTCAGTTGCTATTGTCTTTTGTTGAGGGATTTTCTTTCTTAGTACCGATGAAAGAAGACGCATTCGTTTTCTGCAGACTGAAATGTTCTTGAATATTAGAGTTTATTGAAAATGTCCTGGAAATGAATGCAGTCACCTGGTCAGCAAAGACAGCCTCTGTTAGTTTGTTTTGCAGTAATGGAACCTCACAGAAAACAGCACTATTAATTTTGTCATTTGGTGCAGGTTCCTCAACGACTTGAAGTGAAACTGGACCAGGGAGAATTTTGTTTCATTTGAAGCTTCTATCATGAGACACAATCTTTCCTTAAAGAGTCTGCTACAGAGACTATTCTTTAGATTTATGACTTTAAATATGGCTTTATTTTATTGAAAAAAAAGATTTAATAATACTCCAAATTAGTTAAAGATAAGTGAAGGGTTCTGATGGATCCTTTCAGCAGCAAGCTGTACAAGAGATTCTTGGCTGGGTCAAAGGGTCTGAGATTTATATTCATTACAGCCAACAATCTGAACAATTTCATTAGATGTTGAAAATGTAATTGGAATACAATATAACTGACTGTAATGTTCTTCTGCTGCATCTGACATCATGCAGCATGATAAGATTTTTCATAACCGAGGAGGAGAGTCCTGGCATTCTCCTAGCTTTTTGGAAGTGCCGCGGAGTAATTTCAACTCTGAAGTGCCCTGAGATGAGCGCTTTGTGCCATCAGAAGAATGGAATTTAGAAGCCACACAAATAATACCATGAAGTGTATTAATGCATAACAATTTTTTCCCCTTTTCTTACTGCTGCTAGGCTTCTGTTTTACTGACTGTTCAGGGCAATGTCCTGTCCATCTTTGAAGCTGATGATGTGACTTTAATTGGTGTTGTCTGGGTTAAGGTTGCATCTTGTATATTTTAGTTGATTTAGAACATCATAGCTACCACTTTGAGTAACATTTGCCAATTTGATCTCATGAAAAACAGCAGCAAATACTGCAGAAATGGCAAAGGCTGGGTAAAATGTTCAGCAGCATTTCATCTTCTTTTTCATATTAAATTGCTCTCTGTAATAAGGAGTTCACTATCTGTGTTGTCCTACAGAGCTGTAGTAACTAATCTGCTTTAGTTTTTCTGTATGCCACGCGCTGTGTATTTTCAGCTACAAGCCACTGTTACCATTCCAATTAGCAGTGTCTGCTGTTGACTGTGATAGAGCATGTGACCTGTTATTAGTTAATTTGGCCAATAAAGAAGTACTGCCATACCTTGGTATTTGAGGTAACTATATTAAATGTGCCACACTCAACCAGTCTCTAGAAAAGCAAGAATTATCTGCACACCAAGTTCCAAATATGACAAAATGGTACCTTTGTGTACCAACAGAAATGTCTGATGTCTTTGAGATTTATGGCTTTGTACAGATTTCCAAAGCTGGAAGTTAGTCTGTGGTTAACACGTGGCTCGGTACCCACAGCACTTCAAGATGAGACTCCTGTTTCTTACTGTTGACAAGAAGGGGTGCCTGATGTCTTACAGTGTTTTCAGCACACCTGGGTATTGACATGTCAGTAGTGGGTACTAGAAGTGTTACTTTCATCCATGTAAGATTAAAAGAAGATTGAAAAAGTATAAATAAATGTGTGGTTGGTATGGTCAGTGGGATGTGAAGCACACCTCTTCCTGAAATGAAATTCACTAGAAAAATACTCATCTTCTGAATATGGACTCTATTTGTTTTCTTTGGCTTGGTTAGGAAACCTTTTGTTTGAATTAGAGAGACCAAGTGAGTTGTACGGAATGGTTTTCAGTTCTTGCACATGTAGGCAAGCCAAACTGCATGCAATTAAAGTATTAAAGTATTTACATTTGCTCTCAGTCTTTAATTTTTGTTTGCCAGTTTTTCTGTTACCTTGAATAGTTTTTGAATAGTTTATGTTTGAGGGTTTTTTTTTTTTACCTTCCAAATCGTACATTTTATTTTAGCATTTCCTAATAGGTACTGGAAAAAAAAGATGGAAAGACAGTAGAACATTAACCTAGCTGTCCATCTTCTGTTTCTTTTAGGAAATTGTATTAGTGGTATTCTTTGGAACAGAATATGTGGTTCGGTTATGGTCAGCAGGATGTCGCAGTAAATATGTTGGAATATGGGGAAGGCTTCGTTTTGCTAGGAAGCCTATTTCAATCATTGGTGAGTATGCACAGCTTGCAAGGTTGATGTAAACACCAAGTAACGGTTATACTTCAAAGTTCTGAAAAGATAAATTTCAGTGGAAATGGAAGCCAAGTTAAAGGGAAAGCTCTTGTCATTAGTATTATCGTAGATCTGAATTTCCTTTCAGAAATCCAAGGCACTCTTTTGAAAACAAATGTAGCTTGGCTTGTTTTTCCAGAAAAGCAGTGTGTTTTCTTTTCGCAAGTGATCTGAAGCTTTGCCAGAAATAAGTCTCGCCCATAGTCCTGTCTCCTGCAACCTCGGGATCCAAACACTTAGAATTGCTGCAACTTCTTTTCTTTTAAAGATGCTGAAATCCCCTTTATTTTTTTTTCTCCCCTGAAAGCCCTCTGAGTATCTAAAATGAGTTACTTTGCACTCTAATTGATGCACACGCTGCCTGGTGAAGCACAATAGATACACCACAATTACTTCGTGTACCAATTAAATTAAAAACCGATTCTCAGCAATGCATTTGGATCTGGATACCATTCTAGTTGATATCCTGACTGACTTCAGTGTTCACAGAAATTGCATTAGCCTTCTCTCTACATGTCATAACTCATATTTTTTATAGAATGGTTGTCCTGTGTTTAATTTCACCAAGAGAAATGTAATAACCCAGAAGCAATCTTCACTCATGAGAGAGAGCTATATAAAGACAGTTGCCCTGAAGCACTTAAAATATAAATAGATTAAACAGAACAAATTTTGGAGAGGAGTATTGTTATAGAAGCACAATATAGCTTGTTTTCTGGCAGTTCTTTCCACTACTCAGAAATGCTATTTGTCATTGACCAGAATATACCAGAATTGTTTCATAAACAATTTGCAAGCTTCTCAAGTGCAAATTACAAAACTTTGTACCTGGATACTGTTACAATCATAAAGTTGCTTAGTTTAACTTCTCTGTGTGTATGCATATATAATATGTACTTTCAACTTACTTTATATATATGTGAAACTGCCTCTCGGATGTGACTGCAGCTATAAAATGTCTGTTTCAGCAGAGATATCTCTTGAGATATAACTGATAGCCTTCACTTGGGGTCATGTTCCAAGTAAAACTGACATTGGTTGTAGTAACAGCCTTGTGGAAGCATTACAAGTTGTCTCCAACTCATTTTTTTTTCAACTGACTTTTATTTTTCAGATTTAATTGTAGTTGTCGCTTCCATGATAGTTCTGTGTGTGGGCTCTAAAGGTCAAGTCTTTGCAACCTCAGCTATCAGGTAATTATATGCAATAGAAGAAAATAATGCTGTCTGTTTGAGTTAGGTGGCTTTTTTTCCCCCCTTTTGTTTACCTCCCATAAGGGTGAAAAGCAGTCACTCCTCTGACATTCACAGAGTAACAGAGCAGATGACCATTCACATATAGGTGTGAAACAGTAACGTCATGAAGTAGTGCGGATAAAATTTTTAATCTGTATTCTGGTTGTAATTTTCTTGCTCTAGCAATGGATTTATGTCTGTTTGGGGTAGGAGTGAACATGTAGGCATGCACACCCTCTCCTCAAAGAGGCAGACTTTGAAGTCTACCATAAAATACTGCGCATCTCTTTTAAAACGGTCCTTTGGAATACACAGATTTCCTCTCTCAACCTCTTTTTCTTCTCTTGTATATTTGGCCTCTTCACTCATTTAAAACTTCTGTTCTAGGGGCATCCGTTTCCTGCAGATTTTGCGGATGCTGCATGTTGACCGTCAGGGTGGCACATGGAGGCTGTTGGGATCGGTCGTCTTCATACACAGACAAGTAAGTTTGTGTACTCCAAGGAATGGCAAAATAATGGATGCCATTTGTTTAATAGTAATTTAAGTTCCTATATTCAGAACAGTGTATATGCAGACATCCTGATAATGTTAAATATATTCAATGTGGAGACAGGCAGTCATTTATTTTATCAAAAAGCAGTTGTTCTATCCTGTTCAAGGGATAAAAAAGTATGTGAACTATTAAAAATTTTCACCTACACTTTGGAAAACTTTTGATGCTTATGTGGACTTAACCACAGAGAATGAGATTTCTAAGACAGAATATGAATGTTTCTGTAAACCATATATCTAAGTCACAAAGTTGTTTTGAATGTAGTAGCATTGTTTGAAAAAATTCAGCCATCCAAATTTTGGTGACCAAAAAGTTAATTTGCACGTGAGGAACATTTGGTTATTTCTAACATTCAGACAGTGCATGCCAGGCCAAGTCATGAGATATTCAGTAAATTCTTTCATCGTTGAGCAGAGTGGATGCTTATTAAATTGCACAGCCAACAGTTGGTGTCGGTGTTTATTACATGCTGAAATTGCATTTTTCTGAACCAGTTCTCTTTTAGAAAACACCAGCGATATGTAACTTAAATGTCTTAACAGTACTGAATCAATGTTGTTTTGATTCTGTTTGCAGGAACTGATAACTACACTCTACATTGGATTTCTGGGCCTGATTTTTTCCTCCTATTTTGTGTACCTGGCTGAAAAAGATGCTGTAAATGATTCTGGAGAAACAGAGTTTGGCAGCTATGCAGATGCCCTATGGTGGGGAGTAGTAAGTATGGCAATTCTACATGTTAGCAGTCTCAAATATGAAGCGCAGTTCAAGCAGACATGGAGAGAGAACAGCACTTTGACGTGGCTTCTTATTGCTGCAATAAATTTTCTGATTTCATGAGTCTGTGAAACCAAGAAAATACTACAGAAGATCTGTGGTTTTATTTGGTGTTTCTAGTCTTATGTGATCCAAAGTGATCAAGTTACGTACACAAGGTAAAGAAAAATCTACTCTTATTTCTATATGCCATCTTCCCATCTGTTATAGTAATTTACTTGCTGCATATCTCATGGTAGGATTCAACCTTCTAATACAATAAGGCTTGCTAAGTCAGGGTTGGTGTTTTCCTCTTGTTGTTGTTGTTATTATGCTTATCTATGATTTATCATTCAGCTTGGTACGGTAATTTCCTGTTTCATCAGAATAGACTACTTCCAAAACAAGGATCATCTGAGATGCTTAATAAATATGGGCACAGGACCTTTTTAAATTACTATATTGCTTTGGAACCAACTCAGTAGCCTTACGTGGCATTCCTCTTCACTAAGTTTATTACTATCTTGCTCACAGGTATTACGGGTGTCTCTAAGATGATCCCATACTTTGACATGTAGATGAGTCTTCAGTTTTGCTCATAAATCTCTGCTGCAATGGCTGGTAGTGACAGTTGTCTTTTTATTTTTTATGCGTACATACTGATTTGGCAGCTCATTTTAATTCTGTTGTTTCTGCTAGCAACAATTCCCTCCTTTTCTCCCATGATATGCAAATATTATGCTGGCTGCTATGTTCTGGGATTTTCATTTTGTAATTGTTTTCCTTTCCTTTTCCTACTAGAGTTCAAAAGAAGGGAGTTGGAACTAGATGATCTTTCTTCCAACTTAAGCCACTCTATTCTATGAGTCAATGATTATGTTTGGAGCAGCCCTCATACCTCCATTTCACTAACAGAATCTTCTTGAGAGATAGTTTTTTATAAACTTCTCCGTGTGTGTGTTTATATTGTCTTCTCTCTACAAACACTACTACACTCTATTTGAGGAAGGAAGGTTCTACATATAGCCTTGTATGAATCCAACAGATTTTGTGTAGGTTACTACTAAGATCTGCTGATGAATTCTTTTCTCTGCGTTGGCCATGATAGAAAGCTCCCTCTAGCACCAGAAAACTTGCTGTGTAGTGCAAGGAAGTGGCTTTCTGGCAAGGATCTTCTTCAGTGCTTTCATATCATCACTGTATTTTTATTTTACAGTACAGGACTCACATGACTCAGTAATAAACAATGGCAGATGTGGCTGCATTTAAAAACACATGCTGTCATTGGCATTAGCATTAAAAATTGAATACGTGACAGATGAGATTGGCTTTCTAGGAATACAGTAATGCTTTCTTTCCACAGAGGCAATGAGATCTGTCAGGATATTGAAATATTTTCTTTTCAAGGAATTACAGCTCAATTAATACATATGCCAGTTATTTATTCTTTTTCATTACAGTAAAGTTGTTTAATCAACAGATTTAATTATGGTCATGTTATCTTCCTGTTATAATTTATTTCAGGATACCATTTGGGCTGTGTTACCGTATTCAGTGAGTCTCTGATGCAACTTGCTTAATATTAGAAGTAGAATTTAGTGTCCTTGTTCTGGTCTAAATATAGATGTCAGAAGGATTTAGCAAAACATAACTGAAATGAGTTCAGGTCTGTCTGTTTTTGATTGTTGTTTCTTTTTGTTTGATTGGTTGATTTTTAATTGTTCTTTTTTAAAATTAAATTAATAAAAGAACCTACAAACTTGGCCCAATATCTGATGAATGCTTCCTGCTGAGGATCTCAAATTATTTAAAACAAAACAACAAGCAACTCTTGAACTGTTAGTTCTTAAAAGTTTCAGTTATGTTCTAGGCAGAATTTTCAGAATGGCTCGAATTCCGCTCACTGAAAACCTATCTCCATCTGTTTTGGACTGGGTATGCAAAAAGTAATTTGCAATTCCTATCTCAAAGACTACCACAGTTATATGATCTCTCTGGCACACACTGCTCAAAAAGTATCCTAGGTCTGACTTGGCTTTTGTAGCAGATAATACATCTAAAAGAGCAGGACTTGGTGCTGTTTTCACACACCCATCATTTCACAATCTACAGCATAGTGCTTCTCTTTTTTTTTTAGTTAGCAGCATAGATATGCACTGAGATAAAGTAGTTCTTTGGTAAAAGAACATGCAGCATAGTATAAAGTAGGTAATTTATATGGTCTATGTTACCACAACTAAACTCCATCTGGAACTGGGTACTATTATATTGCTTTGCTTTGCTGACTGTAGGCATACCCATAGGGTGCATAACTCTTAATTAAATGTTCTTCATTGTCATTGTTGTTATTTTTAAATCTATATTGTTGTTCCATTTCCATATGTAAAATGGCATCCTGGACTTTATTTGAATTTCCTTCAGTACTTCGGGCTGTAGTTATTGGCTAGCTTGTAGGCTTCTTGGAGAAAACTGTGGTTACCTTGTCACATGGAATAAAGCCTTGTCTGTATTACTGCTGCTTTTGAATGCAGAGTGTATTGTATAAATAACTCTGCTGATGGCAGCCTGTCTTGCATGCCTTGTAAAAGACAAAAGTTGTTATTTGTAAATAAAACACAAGTAACATGCTCCATCTCTCATCTACATAGGGCAGGTTTACATTGTTCTGTACAATTGTTCTGGTGATATTGTTCTGTATAACAAGGCATACAGCCACTAAGACCTAAAGAAAGACGATAAAAACAAGAATTAAAACACCAAACTAACCAAACCAGCAAGATGTTCTTATCAAGTCTCTCAAAGAAGATCTTCATCAGGGAGTGTTATTGTCCTGTTGTTTCTGTTGTTTGTTTTGTTGTTGTTCTTAAGTAGTTTTTCCTTTTTTTTTCTTTTAATTTTTTTTCTTCCCTTTAAGTATTGAAATTAGTCACGCCTCAGGCAGATGGATGGGAGCTCTCCTTTTGATATCCACTGATTGATACACAATTTCCAGCCTTCACATCTGAACAAACATCCTTCAGGAAAACCATTATGTGGGTTGTGCTAGCAGTCTCTTTAATCATGAGCACTATTTGCCAGAAGCAATTATTGAATATAGCCATGCATGAATATTGCACTATGCCCATTCCTTTGGATTGGATTGAGGAATTGTCTGCAAACACCAGCTTTAGTTAAGAATTTCCTATTCCCTTAATTTTGAAATATGTGATTTCTCACTAAGGACCAAATTCAACAAACACTGATAGGTTTACTTCTAAGCAAAATAGTGTTCCTGTTTAGCAAAGCCTAATTAATTTCACTTCATTTTCCTATCTCGTGACTAGAACTATCCTTGTAGGGATAGTTCTTGTAGGGTTTTCAGAGTTCCCTCCTAAGATATTTAGCTGTTTTGTATATAGTTAAGCATTATTTTTATTCTTCTTGTGCCTAAATAATACTGTTTCTTTTTAATTACAATGACTGCGTTTTGTGAGGTGTAGTAATAGTAGTACTAGTACAGAGCAGAAGAAAAATGCTGCAGAATTTCCAGAAGCAGCTTAGAACTTGCAGTCAGACTATCTGCCTATGGTCATAACTTTCCCCAGAGCTTTCAAAATCATGGCCCATTTCAATTTGCTGCTTTATTTTCTGATGCTTTCTGTGCAGAAATGATATCTTGCACAAGGTCTGGACAACAGAAAGCTTATTGCTATAGATTAGAGTACTCTGTATAGTCGAGATCAGTGCTGGAGCTCTGGTGAGAGCAGATCTTATAGGCAGAGCTGCCTGTTAAGTCTGCATGCTGACCTCCTGCTTTTTCCCATTCATCTGATGAGGTAGCAGAGAGGACTGGCACAAGGCAGTGCAGCCTGCAGTGTCCCAAAGAAAAAGAGCACGTATTGCTGTACTGTAAAAAAAAAAACAACAACACCTAAACAACTGACAGTGAGTTATCAGGTGAGGGCACAAAGCTGCTGGGTCACCTGTGAGTTTTGTTACTTGTGTACAGGTTAACTACTGCGTTCAGGTCTAAAATTGTCAGTTAACTCCAAGTAAAAAGCATCACAAATCTTTTGTGCTGTATGTTATTACATTCTTTAGAGAGTTTTGATACACAGATGATGATATTGCTAGGAAGTTTTAAGACTTCATGCCAGATAGTTTTCTTAATTTAGTTACCTTTGTATTTTGGTAGGGCTGAACAAAACTGCAGTTCAGATAAACACAGACTGTTTGCCCATGCCTTCACTAATAATGCACAGTTCTCTTTGTTTTTGTGCAGTACGTTTGTCCTACATCTTGTTCTCCTTGAGAACTACAGTCAGGGAGTGAACAGCTTATTTTACAAGAGCTACTGAAAACAGCTTTTGTTTGTGAGGCTAAACACTGAAAATGGGATCCAATGACCTTTGTAGTGCACTGTGTTGCAGGTGTGTGTACTGCAGGAACTGGCTGACGAAAGAATGGAGATGAATAAAATGAGACCATGAAACAGAGGAACAAAAAAATGAGGTTGGAGTTCCCATATTTTGGAAATGAACAGGAGCCTGCAAGAGTGTCAGTTCTCATCAGAAGCTTTTCCAGGTTCTGCTGCAGAACCTCCCCATAGAAACTGTAGGGGAACACTAATTAATTTTCAGATTGAATTGCATTTTCAAGAAGTAGTGAATGAAATGATGTACTCTGGCTGACTTGACCTAGTCATAAACTAGAAATAGCAACCAGAAAGCCCCCTTGCATCTTGTGTTGTTACTGAGCTGTGTAAAGCGGCTGTAGTGTCCCACCCCCTCACCCCCTTTTTGTTGTTGTTGTTGTTTTTTGGCACACAGGAGCAAATTTTCAAATTTTAGGTGAACTCAATTAACTTTTAATATTTACCAGTTTTTTGTTTATTGTAGGACTTTTTCTCAGTGATATCTCTCAAGTGGAGATGGTTAGTTTGGACAACCATTTGATTAGGATGCTGAGAGTGGCTATTACATTCTAGCTAGAGCTGAAAGTGACATCTGGAGGTGGTATTAGACTAGGATCTGTGAGTGATAGCTGGGCAGCACTGAAGATCTGTTACCATTGGGTTTTTCTATTTTTCTTTAGATTTATTCAGACTGCATACTTCATAACAAAGTAAGCATAAGTATCTGATCTATTTACGCTTAATGCATGAATTTCAAGAGCTGGGAAAGATTGTACTTTATATTGAAGAGGCAGAAATGCAGTTGACTAAGACATCAGGCAGTAGAAAAGCTTTTAATGTGTTCATTACAGAAGAGCATTTAAACCAAATAGCAGTTTACACTACACTTCAGTTGCAAAGAAGTCAAGGAAACAGTCAGTGTTTCTGGTGTATCTCTGGATGTTCTTATAATGCTTGATTTAATCAAGACGAGTACTGAAGTGCTCAGAAAATTTTATGTTATTTGGTATAGAAAAAAAAAAAAAAAAGCAACACAAAAACCCAGTGCAATTCATTTTGAGGTTTCAGTGCTACAAATTTGGAGACTACCTTAATTACTTTGTTTCTAAAAATGGCATTCCCTTGTTTGCTTCAGCGAACAAAATCTACTTTGTTTGCTAACCCAGACCTGTGATATCTCCCCTTTTATTGCCCGTGCCATGCATTCTTGTGTTCTATAACTGCTGAACTACCTACATCAGCACAAGGCATTCAGTATTTTATCACAAGAGCAACTTTACGCACCTGCTTAGTTTGTCCTCATTCTACCCAGACAGCCTTGAATAAAATCTTTATTCAGAGCTAGCAAACATTCTGAGATCGCTATTTTTTGTTGTTGTCAGATTTTTTTTTGCTTCACATTTCCTCTGTTAGACTATTCATGCATGTATAATAAGGACAAGATTAATCGTAGCGCCAACGCCTGTGATGTACATCAGATCAAAGTTCTGAAATAGTCAGTGGATAAATATGATTTTTCTCTAATTAAAACAATTGGTTTTCCATACTGCTTTGCAATGAAAATTTAATGTGTGAGCTCTTGTATCAATTTAGTTTTATTATGCCTGTGTATTTAGTATGCTAGTGTAGAAGTTGAGTCAATATTTCCATTACTATGATCCTATTTTACAATTCTAAAATTAGTATTGTACTCTTTAGGGGGTTTAAATCTAACTAAAAAAGATCAGTTAGGGCGGAAACTTGGCATATAAGCTTTCAACAACATATATTTTGGTGAAAAAGAAAATGGAATTTTGGAATACAATGCATTTGTAAATGGGTTAGTTATGAGAATAGAGGAAAATGTTAACTTAAAAACATGTTGTGATTTGCAAGTTATTTATTACCAAACTGTTGGCTTTTTTTAAACCTAGATCCCAAACAAAATGCACATAAAATGTTATTATTCTATCATTGATCCTTCGTGTAGAGGGAATGTATGGGGTTGGTAGTGGAGGAAGGTTAAGACAGATACCTTTTAGATTTGTAAGAGTTTGTCCTGTGCATCTATTTATTTTCACGTTTCTAATTAACGTATTTATTTAAACAAGGCATTAAGATTGCAATATACAGTAGTTGATACTACTTTTCAGTGATATGATTGTATAAAGTTTATCAAAACTGAGGCATAAAACAGCTTATCTCATAATCTTTGATGTAAGATGGTGCTGGAGGCCATCACATTTGCCAGAATTCACTTGTTTTTGTAAGAGAACATTTTGTGAGCAGAAAAATTGTGATTAAAATTTAGAATTTCCTTTAAACAGAACCTCTTATATGGGTTTGCGGGATAAAAATAATCACTTCAGTTCCTTCAAAGGCTTTGAATTAAGGCTTTTCAACAATATCAAGAATACACACTAAGGTATTTGTGTACTGGCCTTACCTTACTAATCCTTGTGTTGGATGGGAACAAGGCTTGGAAATGAGCCACAGTTTAAGAACTTATCCAGAACATTATTTCATTTTAATCCATCAGTGACTTGCAACAAACTTGTATCATCATTATTTCAAGTAGCCACAGCTGTCCCTTTGTCATGCATGTGACAGACACAGAATGATAAATTGCTTGGGAGGTAGGTAGTGAGAGTCGATGGCTTGCTTCAGGTGTTTTTCAGGTACAACTCAGGCGGGAACATAAATATAAAGTGTTTCCCTCTGGTGTCTCATCTTTTAATAGGAATGGATGGCTATTAATGTGACAGATGGCAGCACTTCTGAACCACCTGTCACAAACATCTATTTCCCAAGCTCTCCATTCCTTCACGCCATTAAGAAATATCTCACTTCTATAAATCTGCCCTTCCTTTCTGTTCTTTCCTCCTCTGGAGATGCTGCCTGTGTTTCTGCAGTTGCTAGGGACTGTGCAGTGAAGCAGACAGGTGAACTGGGAGTAGCTGCAGGGCACAGGAGGGATGTTGTGTGGGTATTGCTGTCTGGGACTGATGTCTTTTGTGGCCTGTGTGGCTGAAGCTCATGCTTTCAGAGGGAAAAGCCAGCAGCTGAGGTGTGCTTCAGCTGCTTGAGATCTTCACGTGTTTCAAATGTTCTGGTTTGGTTAACCTTCTTCAAAGCCACAGATAAAAATCTCTTTAATTTCCAAATTCAGGAATAGCTTGTGACATAGGTGAATTTAAATTGCTCTCAGATGCCAAATTTATCCCTTCTGCTTCAAACAAATCCATTCTTTCCTTGAACTCCTGTAAATAATGACTTATTAAGCCTTGTTATGCTACATCACCATGGTGGTAATCTTTACTTCAGTGGAACCCAAACTCAACAGATGTTTCCTGTATGTGTGCATTAAATTATCTGTTCTTGCTCTCGATGTTCTGTCCAAGTTTATGATTCATTAGCCTGTTTTAAGGATCTGTCGCTGCATGGAAATTTTTCTGCTTCTCTTGCTGTTTATGCCAACATTATTCTCTAGAATACTTCATGTCTGACCCCATTTTTATTCCATAGTTACAGTGTGTGTACATACGTATAGTCTTTCTTTGCAACAGCCCTGAAATTCTCTCAGCAAACTTCTCCTGCCCATAAAGAAAATCAGCAATTCAGAACTTCCCTCTAAGGGCAGGGTATGGTATGGGCAGGCAGCCCACATCCCAGAAACTCGTATACTGTAAAGTTGACTAAGCCACGAAGACTTACTTTAATGGTTTTGCTTTACAAGATTTTAAACACGTATTTTATTGTAATTCAATTTCCTGTACCTCCTTCATTCTATTATGGATGAGGAAGCAGACCGAGAGCAGGGAACTGCCTTCTTAATGTCACACAGATTGTCACTGGGAAAGTTAGGAACGCAACTAATGTTTCTTTATAATAAATTAATGAAAATGAAATAAAGAAAAGCCAACCAAAACTGACGCGTTAAAACTTTCTGTAAAGCTCTATGTATTTTTTTTCCTCACAGGTGACAGTTACAACTATTGGCTATGGGGATAAAGTGCCTCAGACTTGGATTGGAAAGACCATTGCTTCCTGTTTTTCAGTGTTTGCAATTTCATTCTTTGCACTACCTGCGGTAGGTCATTTTTTTGATGCTGATCCATTCATTGTCAGAGAAAGCTTTTTGTTAATAACTCCTTAAACTTCAGAATCTAAAACCAAACATAGAGTCCTTACTGTATGCAACATTAGATTTTCTGTGCATTTGAGAAAGGGATGTGTAAATCAGAACACCTTTTCTGCCCATCTAGGAAGTGCAAAGAAAGTTCTTCTCATGTTGTTTACTTCTGGGCTCCGTGACTTAATGTTTTGACTTTTTAAGTCATTTACTCGTAGTTTATTCAACTGATTAAGTCCAAGGTAAACTGGAGGGTTCTTATGCACACTCTTCCTCTGGCAGAGCTACAGAAACGGTGTTGCTGGCAGAGGTAGCAGTAAGCACTCAGGTGCAGTGATGCTGGCAGCTAATGCATCTGCTTGCCAAGTTAATGTATGACTATGGCCAAAGTCTCATATTCAAAAGTGATTCAGGGATGAGATTTTAAAGATATATCGGCTCTTTGCGCTGAAGACAGATTAGTATTTTCTAATAAGATATGGGGTACCCGAGTACCAAAAGTAAATTCAAGATCAGCAAAACCTAGACTGCGGTTTGGAAACCCAAAATTGTTCAGTGCAAAGAGTCGTTAAGGGTATTGCTTTCAAAACTTCAGCAGTACTTGTAAATTGTGCTTTTAAAATGTTTGTGCAGCCTGAACTGTGCTGTCAAAAGGTCTGTGAAATTGGATGCAAATTGGATGAAAAAAAATCTGGATCTGAATAGAATATCTCCTACTGTCAAAATCTTGCCAGCTTTATTTTTCAGCAAGCTTTTCAGCTGTATTAGCATAGTATGACTGTGGCAGGGAAGTGGTGGGAATAAGCTTGTGATGGATAATAATAATATTTTTATACCAATACCTCCACAAAAATTCTTCACAATATTTAACAGCAGCTGTTAAAACTGAAGTGGCTATTTAAAAGCAGTCACTTAACTACTCTTCAAAAGGTTGAGTACTTTTAAAGTATAGATTTTTAAGTCTCCAACATTAGTTTGTCTTCAAGATATATTCTCCCCTTAACTTTTTACTTTCACATTTGTACCTTGATTAGAAGAGAGACTTAGTAAATGAAATGACCTGCAAGAGAAATGTGAAAATCTGCTTTTTTGGCTGTTTTTCTTCTTGGACTTGAAAGACAGCAAGATGTCATATAAATACATGTATACCAGCCCCACGTTCACAGTAATGCTTTTCTGCATTCATGTAGAAATGAAAGAATACCCCAGCACCACCTTTATCACTGAGATTCTATTACTGAGTTGAACAGTTTCTGTGAGTTGGCCATAAGGGGAAACTTAGGATTTGAAGCTCTAGTGGTAACTGTTGCACACTGCCTTGCTTCCTTTTTAAATGAGGGGAACTGTCTAAGATCCCAGACAAAAATAATTGCTGTGGCTAAACAAAACTGGTGTGAGTTCTGGGTCTAGCAGTGATCCTGCATTTTCCAAACATGGGATGTTTGATCATCGTTAAGTCTTTGATCTCGGCTCAATGATTGTAATAGGAAAGGTCTTTCCTGTTTCTTTCAAAGCACTGAGTGATTAATACAGTTCTTACAGATTGAGCCAAGATCACTGGCTGCCCTGATACCTGGACTGCAGAAAGCAGATCGTCCTTTTTTGAGTAGGTGCAGTTATATAAGCTGATTTATGGAAGATTTCGGTATTTTTATCTTTCTGGTAGTAAAACCTTTAAATGCACACGACCACGTAAGTGACTTGCCTTACACTTAATTATGGACTTTAAACTATGTTTGGAAGCTGCTTCCAGTGCCATGCTGCTTATCCTGAAAATGCTTAAGATGGCCTCAAGTTAAAGTCACCTTAGTCCTGACTAATTTTAATGTTCCTTTTCCTTTTTCTTGTCTTCCCATCCCTGCATAGGATAATGTATAAATGTAGGAGTTGCTATACTACAGTTAAAAAGGCTTTCTTGTGACCTGAATCTTACCATGCCAAAGCTTTATTAATAATAAAAATGAAGTTAAGCACATCAGGTTTATATTTTTCCCTATTCTGTCATTCTCCTGCACAAGCATTTTATGAGGCTTTTGGAGGGTATGAATTACCACTTCTGCTTGCTTTTTAGTCTTTGAACTCAGCAGACTTAAACAGGTTTTGAATCAGAGCACGAGAGAACTCATAGTTTGTTTCAACAAGTAATATTAACTGAGTCTAAAAACAGTATTAAGTCATTTCCTCTAAGTAATTAGTGGGGTTTTATGATGCTGAATGGGAGTTTATTAATACAACATAATTTGGCAAGCTTGTATGCTTTCTTTCGTCCTTTTAAAAATATATTTTTTTAAAAAATTAGTTGTATGTTTTCTCTGTTCCCAAAGGGAATCCTTGGTTCAGGCTTTGCCCTGAAGGTACAGCAGAAACAAAGACAGAAGCATTTCAACCGTCAAATTCCAGCTGCTGCCTCTCTCATACAGGTACAAAGTTCTTGCATTTCGCGTATTATCATTTTTCTCCATTTATACTTTTTTTCACAACTTGGCAATGTTCCATGGCCTAATTCACGTAGAAAATTGCGTAGAACTTAGAGATACAAGTCTCTTAAACCACTTTTGTGTTTACAGTGGTATTTCCAACGAATGAGCAGGAAACTTCACTCCCAAATCAGGTCAAATTCTTTGCTTTAGCAGTTTAAAGTAGAAACTGAAGGTTATCCTGTGGCTACTGAACAGTTTAACTGTGGAAAAAGTTATGAAATGCTGTGTTTACAATAGTGAAAAATAGAGAAGAGGCTTCATGCAAAATCATGTTTTAAAACAATATTGTTCCTTGTAGAAACAAATGTCAGATATATTGCATTTTCCTTTGTACAAATAAATTCTTAAAAATCTCAGCTTTCAGAGAATTGAATTGGAGATGACTGGGAAATGTGAGATTCTGCAAAATCAATTTTTTCTGTAGGATTCGATAGAGGCAGAAAACTTAATACCATCTATTAGAAGTATGGTTGCAGTTCTGTGTGAAGCTGGCATTCAACTCACAAGAAGTATTAGTGTTGATTCTGTTGCAGGATTTTTTCCTCCTTGTTTCCCCCTCACTCAGTTTCTGCATGTAGCTGTAGAAGTATGTAATCAAATTCAAAAGAAATGTAGATGTACCCCTACGTTGTATCATTTTTGCCTTCTTGTATGATTTATTTCTCCACCTTCATGAGTGAATGTGGATTTCCAGGTCAGGCTCTTTATGGAAACAGTAGCTAACTGTAAAGTTTATGCTTGAAACTAAACAGTCCCAGAGTTAATGTGAAAAAGTTTTAAATTTAGAGCTCTGGTATTAGCCAGAGATTAACCAAAAGTCTTCAGACTCGCTGTGTTTTGTTTGGATTACATGGTCAGAAAAAGGTGCAGTTTTGCAAAGAATGGGCGCTTGGTGTTCCCACTGATTCTTCTGGAAATCAACCCCAAATTATTGGGAAGTCTGAGACTGCATGTCTAGAATGTCATACTTGGCTTCATCTGAAATACTAAAGAGTGGAGGAAAGACAGTGAATTGTTGACTACTTGTTATTAGTACTGATTATTACTATTTGCTAGTAGTTGTGCATCTCTAGAAGCCCAATTGAATAATTTCTCTGCATCTGATTTACAAAGCAGTTACTTTTAAGCCAGTAAGTTTGTGAAATAAGTTCAGGAGAGGGCAACAACTGAAATTAGCAATTCTTTTTCTTGTATTCCTTCTTGCTTTCTTCTAGAATCCACTTGTTTCTTCCAGTATCCTATTAACCGTGGTGGGAATTATATGATTGTTTGATCCTTTAGTTTCCAAATGCTGTCTGCTTTTTCTCTATCATTCTGCATTGCTTTATTTCTTTCATCTTGTGTATTCTGCCTTTTCCTGCTTCAGTGTATGTGAAATATATATATATATATATATATATAAAAGACATCCTCACTTCTACACTATATATATATAGTGTAGAAGTGAGGATCTACCGTTTTAATCTGGAGACTAATTCTTAATCATCTTTGATCACGTATTTACATTTTAAGAGAGAATGCAGCAGTACTTTGCCTCTGGTCTCATTTCCTAGCCCTGCTTTTCCTCCTTTGCTCTTTGAACTTACTACTTTAATCATTGGTTGTTGGGGGAGGTGGAAGATTGCTTTTGTTTTTTGGCTCCTGCTTAACTAATTGTGCTGTTTCATCATGTGCTCCATCATCATCACTTCCTTGTAAGAATATAGCCCTACTGACCATATGACAATTGCTTCTTTTCCTGACAGTACTCTTATGGAAGAATTATATATATATATATATATATATATATATATTTATTTATTTATTTATTTTCTGTTTAGGGGCCTGAAACATGGGATGAAATAGGCAAAGCATTCAAAGTTTCAAAATCACAGAGGGAAACTGGGGCAGAGCAAGAAATTCAGCTCCAGTCTCCCGAGGCCTGTCTAGAATTCTCTTTTATTATTTGCTGCTAATGCAAGTACAAGTAGTACTTGAAAACATTGGTCTTACTTTCCATTTTGCCCAGCTCAAACTAAGTGTTTTTTGTTTACTGATTAAGGATTCTGAACTGTTCTGAGTTGCTGTTTTTCATGGGAGAAACTACAGAGTGCTTATAGATTTCTTATGTGCTGACTTAAGAAGTTACTGTGTAGTATGGGTTGCTACAAATCCTATTGCATTGATTGTTTCATTGCCACAACTTTTTCTCTAGACTGCCTGGAGGTGCTATGCAGCAGAAAACCCAGACTCTTCGACATGGAAAATATATATTCGAAGACCGGCCAGAAATTATCATTTGCTGTCACCCAGTCCAAAACCAAAGAAATCAGTGATGGTATCATTAACTAACATTTCTTTATATAGAAATTTCAAATGTTTTTAACTAGATCGAATTTTTTTACACTCCAGAGGCTAATTTTTTTTTTTTTTTTTTTTTTTTTTTTTTTTCTTGCTTTACAGAGTTTTACTAGGTTTCAAAGTTTTGTTTACTAATCAGTTTTGTGGTTTTCAGTATGCAAAAATTTTAAGCTGCAACTTAATTTGCTTCAGTTACCAAGCTTGAATTATTTTTTATCACATTTATGAATTTGGGAAAGAACGATAATGATCTACCTCAGGCATGTCAATCCATAACTTAATGTTGTTTGCAGAAGTATATGCAAAGAAAAAAACAGAAAATGTATATTTCCAAAATTGTAACTTATAACTACTTTAAAACACACAAACAAAAGAGTAACCCACATCCTGATGCTTCACACAGCTATCGATTTTATGGTTTTCTAATACACCTTGTGCCTATGTATGCTGTATCTTATTCCACAGTTTAGAATGTTTGTTTATTCATTTAAGATACAGCAAGAAAAAGTCTTTCCATTATGTATCTTTACATTATGTAATTCTTCATCCTCTCTTTTGGATGTGTGGTAGTCATGCACTGGGAAGGAGAGGGTGTTCTACAAAAATTTCTCATATTATCATAGATTCATCTGAATTCAATAGCACTCTATCCACTTGCTCTTTGCTGAAGGTATGATTTATTGTATCCATTAAAATGGTAAAGATATTCTAGAAAGTTTCATTTATATAAACTGTTGCAGAGCTAGCCAATTATTACTGCAGGCAAGGGATTTGCTAATGATGATGTATGGAATTCTAGTGATTAGCCAGTTTGGGGGGATGCAATCTTATTAAGAAATTCACAGTATAGAGTGATGAAAGTAGAATTGGTCATGTACTCTTTTATGTGGTTATAGGTCATTAGGGACTTCATTATTACTGTAGACAATGAAGAGCTGATTTAATGTGGCTTGCTTTGTAATTTAATGTATGTGCATTTTTAGGTTAAAAAGAAGAAATTTAAGCTGGACAAGGACAACGGGCCTTCTTCTCCAGATAAGATGTTAACAGTTCCACACATCACTTACGACCACGTGACGGATGACAAAAAACCTGATTTCTGTTTTGATACATATGAAAATTCTGGTAAGCAATTTGTTGTCGAATGCATTGTCTTCTGTTAATGATTTATGCGTAGGCACTCGTTAATGTGTAGAAGAGAAAGGACAGAACTAATTCTTGTCCTTATTACTAAAGTAAGAGAATTTTGCTTTTTGACTTTGCTGGCTTGTCTGGTTAAGGTTCAGCTGTTCCTTTAATGAATGCACTCTGTTGTAGACAAACTAAGATTCTTTGTCATTTCTGCCTGCTGGAGGAGCCACCCTCTCTTAGGCATTTGCAGTCCCCAGTTCTTCAATTGATTAGAGATATCAGCTGCTAGCTTCTGCATGCGAAATTTACTCAAGACACGTTACTGCCATGCTTGTACCTCAACCAAAAAGGTTTGACGTATCTTGGCAGCTCTGAGCATAGTCTGCTATGTGAAAGTATTGTATGCTCCTACCATCTGGTCGATGGAGCCGGCTGTGAATCAAATTTTGAAAGCAGAAGTGCTGAGGATAAATGTGTATGCATCTATGTTAACTGTCACTGTGCAAAAAGGCACAGTGTGAGGAAAAAGAAGAAAGGGCCACCAAAGGTTTGGTGATCACCTCATAATTGATACTTTAGTAACCGGTGCTTGAGTTTTCATCTGTCTGCTCAAATTTTGACCTAGCACCAATTTTAATTCAGACAAAAAGTCCCACTTTCTGTGTACTTGATCATGTGTTTCTGTAACATTTCATGTGCTGCAACCTTCTTTCTGTGCTTTTTCATTCTTTCTTGGCTCCTATTACAGAATGACTATGATTTGCATCTGGCAGTAGAGATGATAAAGCTGTTAAGAGGTGGACAAATACTCAGTTCAATTTGTAAACTCGCTCTGAGTACAGATATCTATTTTCAGTACAATCAAATGAAACAACTATACAAATCCATTGCTTTGAAAAGTCCTACCTTTTACCACTGAGTTTCTAAAGCTCAATTTGCAGGCAGCCAGCTACTGCCACTTCAAAAATCAGCCATGTAACTTTCAACAAATGGATTTTCTCTAATTTCTTCTGACACTTATCTTTTTCCTTTTTTATCTGTGTTCTACTCTCTCTAAACTGTTACAAGTATACAGGACAAACAGGAATGTTAAAATTGCTTGGTAAGTGGAGGAAAATTTTATCTGTAGCATGCAAGCTTATGATGAAGTAACATTGATTGCAGTGCTTTTTGTGTGTCTAGTGCTGTATAGTTTCTAAGAAATCTTGTACAGCTGAGGAGATCTAGACAGACCAAAATCCACATTCTCACATTTGTAATTGCACACAGTTTCATTACAAAGAAGAAAGCACTTATAAATATTTGTATGTAAATAGACTATCCCTGTTGTTTCTTCATAATTCAGAAAAGTGGATAGTGTATGGATAAACAATAGAAAAAAGATGATATAACTCAAACTTCATCTAGCAATTAAGTTATGTGCTCAGATAACCAAGAATTTCTAAACAAATAGATTGGAGTGTGAGAAGAATTTCCAGATTTGACCTCTGAAATTGGGCTCCCTGAAGTGAATGCATCTGTTCCTGTAAAAATGCTCTGTAGATATTTGTGAACAGATGGGGACCCATAAATTAAATATTTTATTTTACTGTTTGTCTGGATTCTGTGATCACTTAAGCAGCCATGGAGCCCTGTGATGTTTCTAATATGCTTGTTTAGGCATTTTCTCAATGTTTGAGTGTTTCTCAAAGACAAAGGATTAGAGCTAGATATAGTTAAAAAAGAAAAAAAAAAAAAGCCAAACCTGTGATTTTGTAAGAGTGCTGTGAGCCACCTGTAGGTTTCCTGCACTGCTTCCACTAAAGACATTAGAGATTTCATTATTCAGGTGCAAGGATCCTCGGATTTTGACTAAAACATCTGAAAATACAGAGCTCAGTTTCTCTTCTGAATCCACATGCAACATAAGTGTAGTAGGGGTAGTAAAAGAGCAAAAAGTAAACTTTACGTCCCTCACTCCCCATGGTCTTGGTTTGCCCATTTCCAAGAACTGCATCTCTTTTGGGGCTGATCATGGTGGAATCTCAGGAGAGGAGCAAGAGCCGTGAAATCACCTGCTCTCTATAAGTAAGAAGCATCAGAGGAGCTTTACCAGCAATCACAGCTTAAATTTCCCAGCCAAAAGAGTAAAGTCATGGACCTGAGAGTTCATTTAAAACCGTTCTTTAAAACGGGGGACTCAAAGAAATTGAGGGGAAACTAAATTTGTACATACCGTGAATAAGATTACATTCTTCCTCTGGCATCCTCGGTTCAGCAAGGACTGAAGAGCTTTGGCTGGAGCGTGCCTATAGCTGAAAGAACACTTGGAAATTTGTTGGACTTTGTTTGTTTTGTTCTTAAGATTAAAAAAAAAAAAAAAAAAGCACTATTATGATTATTTAAAAAAATAAAGCATGAATGCTTTGTTTTGCGGAGTCTTTCTCAGCATTGACTAGTCATCTGTCTGAAAATTTTCCCCAAGAAATCTAAATTGAGGCAGGCACTTGGCTTGAATGATTGAAGCTGGCTGTCATAACTGGTTTTTTTAACGCAATGTACCATGTTGCTTCCAACATCAGTGGCGGGAGCTAGCTGTACTATGGAACTAGACCAAGAGCAGTACAAGGTTGTACTCTTTGAAAGGGAAACACTTGAGGGAGCCATGAAGTCAGGAAGCAGGAGGCAAACATATAGATGACATTTTTCAAGATAGGACTGGCTTCTAGGGAGGAATACCTTGCCAAAGAATTTTTGAAGAGGCACGATGCCTCCCCTAGTGGTCGTTTAATATTCTGCTTATTTGCAATACAAACTGGAAGAGTTTTCCCAGACTCTATTCCCCAGTATTATTTATTTTTAAAAATGTCATACTGCATCTTAGGTATGTCTGCATCTCCTCAGCTGTCTGTCTGGAACTTTTTTCTTTCTTCCCCCCCGCCCCTCCTATCTCTGTTTTATGTGTATCTTTACTATAACTCAGATTGTCAGCGTTCCTGGCCATCCTTTTCCACAGACCAGCAATCTTCCAGCGCTCCTTCCTCTCCAGGTAAATCTCATAATATTTCATTGCTCCATCACCTTTGTTAATTACTAAAATCTTGCAGTGTTCTGTCTGGAATTGCCTGTTGTGGCACAGAAAATTATAGTGCAGGTTTTTAAAGAAAGCATAGGCTTCTTAGTAGAATTTTAAGCTTGGAAAGTTTTTCAGATTGTGAACTGCAAATGTTTTAATAAATACTAGCCGGTGTTATTTTTCTAAATGCATTAATTAAAACTTAAGTTTTCCATGCTTAAAAATGTTTTCAATTTTTGGTTTCCTTGCAGAAGAGGAATTGTGAGCTGTTTTCTCACATAAAAACATCCCACTATCAGAAAAGAAGCTCCATGAATGTCATAGGGCATACAGAATTGTGTTAGTAATGTAGAAAACTCATCAGTAATTTCTTGTGAGTGATTGTGATTATAGTCACTGATTAAGAAGTTCAGACCTTCTGTTTTAGAGTGGGAGTTCTCCTGTTAGGGGGAGTGTATTCTTCACCATTTGAAAATAGTACTTGGCCCAGCATTATCAGTTGAATAGTAATACCTTCTATTGCTATCCATCAAATACAAAGATAATAAATTTTGGGGACCCCTGAATTCTGGTAAATATCTCTTGCTGTATCTGTTCACTATTTCTTTTCACTCATTATCCATTGAATTTTTCTTCTTTAAGCCATTCATAATCCAATGGCTATGGATTTCTTTTTATATCACTTCTATTAGGTGTTCAGGAATCTAATTGCTGGCCTTTGTACCAGAGTGGCAGAGATCATGACAAACTTCTGTTTCTTGTCTTCAGCTTTACCCTTTTGGCAATTCTTAGTAATGTTTGCTTATGGATGAGGGTTAAGAAATGCTGACTTTTTATCAGTTTAGAAATCTTTCATTCAGCTTGGGCAAAACGTTTGCCTTGAAGCCTTAACATGGATGTTTTTTCAATCAGTCATTAGAAAATTAACTTTTGCAGGCTGTAGACCTGACTAAGTAACAAGCTGCCTCATCCCACTAAAATGCCTAGTGATCTATTGGAAAAAAACTCTCTGTGCTCCAGTCCCTGAGGGCCATCAGCGTGCTTTTCCAGTGCAGATGTGTAAGTCACGAGGGAGATCGTAATTTCTGACATCGGTCTTCTCCCTGGCTTTTCAGCTCTTACAGTGAGCAAGTCAGCAATGATAAAGCTGTACATGGGACAGTTAGCTCCCTGGTGCTCTGAAGCAGATTTACTTTAACAGAATGTGTGGAAGGGAACCCTTTGTGAACACCATGCTCTTCTCTTGACCTCTCCTCACTCTGTGCAAGCAGATTGCATGGAAGTGTTTTGAAGTGGTTCCTCCTTTATGTTTGAAGCAGTTTAGAAAAGAAATCTATACCCCTCTGCCTAATTTCTTGGATGCACGAACATTTTGGTTATCAAAGCAATTCTGTCTCCCAGAACTTCCACTACCTGAAATGGCCTTTCCACTGTAGCACTCCTTGTGATGAACTGCACATCTCGACACTTGACTCATGTATGGGTTGATAGATGAGGCATCCTTCCCCTGAAGTGAGGGAGGGATTGGGAACCTATAAACTGGCTCAGACAGTGTGTGAGAGAAGCTGTCTTATCATCATGAAAATGCTGATGCTCCTTTGGGGATCTAGACCTGGTTTCTTAGTCTTAGTTGCAGTAATTACGCACCATGAGATGATTTTTATAAATTATAAGCTTGAATTAGAGATAACATAGAGGAACAGATCTTGTCATTCAGGTGTTCATGCATGACTGCTATAGAGCAGACAGTGGTGCATGGTATGACTGATTATCATATATTGACTTTTATAATGTGCTATGATACTTAAAATTCTAGTATATGAGGAGTATAAACAACAGAAAAAGAAGAATTAGCTTTAAGTCTGAGCAGAAGTTGAAATGCTTCAAATAGAAGAGTTCTACTTTTCATGAACTTTGAGCTGTATGCACAGCTTTGTAGTAACTTCTGGTTGTAATGTTCTGTTAAAATGTACAATATTCTGTTAAAATGCACAGTATTTTAGAAATCCAAGCAATAAGTCAGTTTCAGAAGAAGCTGTATGCTATTGCTATAACCGTTATCTGCATATTTTCTCACAGTGAAAAAAAGCCCGACGTTTTTAGATGTGAACACAGGACCCTTCATCAGGACCAACAGTTTTGCAGATGAGCTTGACCTGGAGGGTGAAACGCTGTTAACCCCAATAACTCACATCTCACAGTAAGTCAAGGCCGTTGAATTGTGCATTAGTTGACTTAGACAAGAGAAGCCAATCCAGGTGGGAGGAGCTGGAATATGGAGCTGATAGGGCTATCTCAGATATTTGCGTCAAACTCTTTTACCTTGAAGTTGGTGTATACTTTTCTGAGTGCCAGTAAATCTTCTTGTTGACCTAAAGAAAAGTTCACTTGGCTTTGACACAAGGTTTTAGTTTTTAGCTAATGTCCATGGGCAGCTGGTGGTTGATAGCCTTAAGATTTTCACATGCAGACAATGTGTGGTAGCACTTGCCTGTTGAGAATTATATTAATCCTTCCCTCGTTTTCCAGTGGAATAGCAGTAAAGTGCAAATTTAGAAGTACATAAATGAAATACTGGCCTTTAGATTTCAGCAGTACCTTCTTGAGTGATTATAAGATAATATGTATTGGAAGAAAAATGTGTTTTGATCTTTATTACTGCTTTGTGATGTATTGAAATGACTTGAAATAGGCCTATTTTTTTGTTTGTTTGTTTTTTTAAAAGGTTTTCCACGTTTCTTTTATGCTAAAATGTTATGTCTCTTCAGATTGTTCTCAAAAATTCTTAAGATAACAGAATTTAAGTATACTGTAACGTCAAAAGGAAAAATGAATCGAGAACAACTAAATATTTTATTTGAACACCTTAAAAATATCTATCACTGTCTAATTCAGCCTGCTAACAAATTCATATTATTTGCCGTAGCAAATGTGTGACAGTGTTTAAAAGATCAAACTCTTTCACCTCGCTGGCAGAATGAGAGTTTCTTCCTTTCCTATTCCTAGAAATCTGACTATTTCTGCAGTGAAACCACAGATGAAAATTCTTGGCATACTTACGTTTCTGAGGTACGACACATGCAGAAATGCCTGCTGCCAATTTTCAGGCCTTCTTTCTCAGTGATATAAATAGCAGAGAAGCACAAACATACTTTATATAGCCCCTTTAGAAAGGGTACGAAACAAAGAAGATGTAGGTTTTGGAGGGCAGTGTCGGCTCCCAAACAAAATAACTTGCATTCTCAGCTGAATCACCTACATGTACATATATTTGTAGGCAGAGAGTTTAAGAGACTTTTATTCTGGAAGATTTCTTAGTGGTGCAAGCAGGAGGAGGAAGTCATAAATTTCCTCTAGCCTTAGACAAGAACAACGGAGCAGCAAAACCAGATCTAGAAGTTTCCTTTTCATTGCTTTAAAAACAAAAAAAAACAAAAAAAAAAACCAACAACCAAACTTACCACAACATTGCAAGGCTTTCTTTAAGGGAAATAAGCTTTGGTGCCAGGAGTTTTCATCATCCAATTTGGACTTGCTAATGATTCCTTTTTTTCTCGTTGTCACCTTGAAACATTATAGTGAGGTGCTCTTCTACTTTTAAGTCAGATTGTGTAATACTTGAAATGTGATTTTTATTTATTGTCATTTCTGGGAGCCCTTAGGATATAGATAATGTGTATCGGTCAAAAAAAATATGGAACTAGCATTCTTCTACTTGTTCATAGTGTTTTTGTATTTCTTATATTGTAACCTTCATTGAAATTCCTATATCGCTTTAGATTATAAGTAATGGAATAGTACAAAATGTGTCCATGTATTTGCTTTGAGTTGAGTCTATACTAAGGTAGAAGAAAGTGCAGGTCATGTATTGGTAGTTTGTTTGTTTTTGTTTTGATTGTTTTTCGAAAACTTTTTGGTTCTCAATTCAAAACCAGATAAACTGGATTAAATGTAAAGCTGGATAAAATATTAATTGACTTGCATCCCTTTGAAGTATGGGTGCCCAGATGTTGTATAGCTTATGGGCTGCTCATTCAGAAGTGCATTTACTTGGTGTGCAGTCGATTAAATGTCGTAACAAGGACAGAGAGGCCCATAGATATAAAGGTTTGGCAAAAAGTTAGAGAAAACCTTGCGTTTTGCAGAGTTTGTTGTTGTATTTTGCATTTAGATAACAGATTTTCTCCCCAAAATTTTGGAATTAAAAAGTCTGTAATGCTTATTTTACTATTGGGTTGTGCAGTGAAAAGCAAGTTATTGTGCAAAATTTCACCAGACACATGTGCTGCTGGATGTTAAAGACCTGCCAATTTCCACCAATTATTTGGACAAATGCTTATTTTTCATTCTTAATTTCAAAGTCCTAAGGAACAAATGTTTATGAGCTGTTATTGCACGTGTCAGGAGGGCCTGAATATTAAGCATGTGGGAATATAAGTAAGCGTGAAATGTAGAGCTATTGCGTATGCAATATGATTACTCCAAATTAGTTGATAAGGAAATAAGCAACCATTATGCAAGTATTGCCAGGCACTTAACAAAAATGTAGCACCAGCTATGAAAACAACTTAGTAGGGAAAAGTCAAATAAAGTGCAAATAGCTCTAGTTTCAGGTCTTAAAAGCAAGTCATAGTCTATCAGACAAACAGGAGTATGAAGGCAGTTTAAGGAGCTGAGGCAGTGCCTCTTCTATAGAACTAGGAATGCTTAGGTTTGGTATTGGATGCATTATTTCCTGGTCAATTACATATTCGTTACAACATATGTATGAGTTTGTCCACCAATCGCAGAAAGGCGACTCCAGAATAAACATGAATGTTTGAATGTCATAAAGACATGAATAAGTATGACACAGTTACTTGGAGACATGCAACTGGAAAATGACTTTCATTTGACGTTGTGGGAAGTATTTCCTTTTGACACGTAACATAAATCTTCTGGCAAAAGTGGGAAGTACCTGCTGCTTTACTGTCAGGCAAGCACTTGATATCATTGTGGCTTAAAGTGAGGCTAACTCACTTGGCTCGGGTTGTAGACAAAAAATTCTTTCATTTGTTACGACAAAGGGCTTTAGAAAGGCTTTAGGTATCTAGGCCTAAAGTCCCCTTTAAATTGAATTTCAGTGTCTTGCTTGTTTATGCAATAATTATTCCTTATTTTTTATATGGAAGTGCATTTTCCAATTGAATCGAACTTGCTGAATTTTGAATGTGATTCTGAAATAAATTATATAGCTAATATAGCCCTATTTCTGTGGAATTAGGGGAAATATTTCATGTGGAAAGATGGCTGCAGCTGTTAATCATGTCCCTGCTACTTTGAGGAAGCAGAAATACAGAAGCATTTTCAGACCTGATGTTAAAGCAGGAAACAGATTAACATAGAGTAAAACAAATTTGCGGCAGATGCGTGAAAAAATACAGAACAGGATAGTAGTGGATAAAGGAGTGTGACTGTGCTTATTCTTCTATGTGAGAAGTTTCATGAACTTAAGATTCAGTTGGAACAACCTATTTGGCTGTCAGAACTCACCCAGAAAGTGAACTTTGAAACATACAAAAAGGGGAAGAGGTGAGTAAAACTGAGCTGAAAAGAAAGACAAGGAAATAATGAAAAACTCTCAATCCAATATATCTTCATATAGTGATTTCTTAACTCCTTAAAGCAGTTTAAATATAGCTCCAATTCTTCATGATTTTTTTTCAGAAAGAAATTCATCTCTCTCTTTTTAATTTCCATAGTTTTCTACTCTCAAGGTTCAACAACTCATTAAGCAGTGGCTTGTTTAATCAGTTTTGATATATAATGTATAGTACTTCTTTATGCTTCCTAGTAAGTACTTTTTTAAAGGAAATACTCTCTAGATTTATGGAAGCACCTAGTTTGGAAAAGACCTTCTAGATGACCAAGTCCAACCATCAGTCTGACCTACCCATATCCCTTAGTGCCATAAATGTATTGTAAACTTACTGCAGAAATTAAAATATAAAGGTAGCCCTCAAAAACTGTGTTTAAATTCCATATATACAGTGGGTTTTTTTTTTTTGTTTTTTTTTGGTTGTTGTTGTTTTTTTTACAAAGCATACAGGGTTTGAATGTGACCCCTTAAAGAACTCATATCTAATTAAATCTCCTTGAGTACCATGCCAAATGAATGCTCACTGGCATAAGATTGCATAGACCAATATACTCTCTGTGCAAAATTGCTGGCAAAATTCTTGATTGTCAAATGGTGAATGTATTATTGCTTCATATATCAGTCTATCTCTTAATTTTAATTTTAATTTAACAAAGATTGATGTCAATCCAACTACTTCAGGGAATGTGTTTCAAAGTGAAAGCGGTTACATAGTGCATTTGTGTTCCTATTGCTGTTTATATGGTCAAAATAACAACATGGTGTTTTAATGATTCTTTCCCACGTGTTTTATAAGTATCTATTGAGGTGACAAATACGTTTCATGAGAAAATTATTTTACAAGTGCAGAAGTGTAAGTATACCAACACTTCTGCACTTGTAAAATAATTTTTCAGTGCAAGATTGCTTGCAATGGCATACCGTGATCTTTGGGTTTAATGCTGTACACTTATACTAGAATAAAGCATTAGATTAAAAACAGAAAGCAGTTTCTTCTGTTAAGTGTATTTCTAGCCTGAAAAAAACGTGACATCAGCTTTCTTTTCTATCTCTGTCAGCATCTCAGGTGTGGTAGACTCTTTTAGGCGTTGTGTTAGGAGCACGTGATGGGTTCTCGTGTTGGAGATGTTTTTAAAAATAAACTTTCATATAGTTAAGCAAATAAATTTGGTGCTTTTTAATTTGTAGATTGAGGAAATGGCTGCAGACACATTTTTCTGAGCAACTGAAATGAATACTTTGGGACATTTTATCATTGCAGTTGTATTTCAAAGTAAGCTGACAAACACTGAGTGCAGTGTCCATGGTGCTGCAGTTACCAATGGCTTTTCATTGAAGTAATGTTTCCTTTCTTGTTTCCTTAAGATTTTATTAATGTTTTATGTTTTAATTAGCAGCATATAATCTATTGGCAAAACACAGAACCTCATTGTCTAGAACAAACAGTTCTGAATGTGTTTTATAACTGTCGCTTTTCTGTTAGATTATCAGTGAATAGAATCCCTATTTGCTTTCATTTGATAGCTCATATTGTAACAGATTCCTGCTTTTATCTTCCTCTTCTATGCCAAAATGACCCTGTAGAGTCTAAGCAAATATTTCTTTTTCACTCTGAAGTAGCCAGATCTAATGGCTGTCTTCTACTGTTACAAGAATTCTGTTTGAAATGCTGCTAACAATATATAAACCGTGACTTCCACGGGGTCCATTTTATCATTAATGACAGGGCATGTTGGCAGAATAGCAGTAGAAATTGTATGTAAAAATATTCTTCGGTTAATTCCAGATCTAAATGGTCAAATGTCACTGATTATTGTGCTTTGTGGTATTCCATTCATTTACTTTACTCCCTGTTGTTGAATCTGTTGATTTAATAGTTTTATAGATAGGGGTGTGGACTCATTCCCTGAGTGGTTCCCTCTCATGCTTTAGTTATTAAATTACAGTAAACATGGCCATAGAAAGAAACTCTAGAACTCTGGATGTATCAGGAGTCAGATTTTACTCATCAGTTCAGCTGCTTTGAGCCACTTGGCCACTTGAGGATGAGAAGCATCTATCAAGCTGGTTTGATAAGCAATCAAGGAAGATTCTTTTTTCTTTTTTTTTTTCTTTTTTTTTCTTTTTAATTTAAGGAAATCTCACAGTGGCAATAAATGAAAGACTCAGCATCATAATCCCGTTCTGGTTTCTCATTTTCTCATTTTGCAACCTATGGCAGAGAAAATGTAGTGATAGTGCAGCCCTAAGTGTAACTAATTCCTTAATTAAACATTGATCAAGAAATTGTAGTCACCAGGAAGAGCTCAGAGCTCCTCTGATTTAAGTTAACAAATTAAGTTAGGTAGTTCCAGATTTTGGGGCCTGCAAATCTTGTCTGATATATCTATATCTTGTGGTTATAGTAGAGCAGGGTGTAAGCAAACTTGGCTATTTTAGGTAAGCTGTTTTCTTCATACTCTGTCCGAATTTGATTGCTGACTTATGGATATTGTTAGAACCCAGAAGCACTTCCAGAAGAGCTATGACATTTCCACGGTAGCAGTGAGCTGGTAGCATCAATTTCTTGCATTTTCTTCTGCAGCTGTCTGAAAATTGTTGTAAACTCTTCTCTGTTTTGCTCCCGAAAAGCACTGTAGCCATTGCTATGTGAAAGCAAGTGTGCTACTTTGATTTCATGTGTTACTGCTTCAGCAATGTATGTATGTATGGAATCTCTTATCCTATGCCTTAGCTTGGGCTGACAACAGTTGTCATTTCATCTGTAATACCTGACACCAACAGAGTTGTGTGCTTTAATGGTACCTGATGTCCACCACAGACCTGGTTAAATTGACTCATTGTGTCTTCTGTGATACAGGCAGCTAATGGTAAGCTTCATTTTCATAGACAAATTACCTGAGGTAAGATGAAGTTGAGGCTTGGGCAGATCTTCATGGTGTCTTATTTCACCATCAACACCATAGGAGCTGAGCTGCTTCCGACAGTACAATAAGTAATATGGCTAACATCTGTCCCATGTGGTTACTCATTTCTTTTATCTTTAGGGAGAAGTTTTTGTGTACTGTGGTGGGTGGTTGCTTTCTTCATAGATTAGATAGAATGTGTAGTTTACAGCGATAGATTTGAAGACCAGAGGGGATAATTAGATTGTTTCCTTTGATCTTGTAAAAGACAGACTGTAGTGCTCTGTTAAGCTGGATTCAGCATTGCTGTGCTGTGTTCTTAATATTAGCAAAAACACAATGAAAAGAATTGGGTTTCATAAGCTTAGAGAGCGAACAGGTGCAAAATCAGGCAACCACCCAGAATTTGTGATTTCTTCCCTTTTATTGTAACTATCCATTTATCGGAGAGGAAAGGGCCTTCGTACACTCAGGCATTTTTTTTACTACATTTACCAGAATGTAGTATTGAACAAATATGTTCTATGTTACAGTTTATAAGCGTTTATGAAATAATAATTCTCATAATCTTTACCTTTCTTACTGTTAATGGTCACTGATGAATTCCAGTACAGCATATAATTACTATTTGGCTATTTTATGTA